CTTAACATAAAACTGCTAAATGCAAACACAAATTTCCATTTGTACATAAAATGCCAGCTGTGTAATGCTAAATTTTGGTTTTATTTTAACTTTGGTTAACTTTAAAGCAACTTTTACTTTAAAATTAACCAAAAGTGTAGGAAAATCTTGATTCTTTGAAGCAATAAAATTTATTCTAATCTCTATGTCTTTGTCAGACAAATCTGTACCTCCATATTAAAAAATAAACAACATTAGTCAAGAATTGAGCTTCTCTGTTTCTTAGCATTTTGACTAAGCTTAGATGTTGATTTCCTCTGAAGGTTTTTCCATATCAATACACTTTCACCAATAGTACAACTGTCCCTCTGCATCAGGTCTAATGCAACAGCAATAGGTTTAAGCATTAGTAACAGATCTTCTGGTTGTTTGCATCAATTATTTAAAATTACATAAAAATATTAAATAATACAAACTTTGAATGAAATCTTATAAAGAGCTTATTTTTTTATAACTATAAAAAAATGTCTTCAATGGATATAACTCTTTTATTAATTTTTAAAAGTAATATTTTGAAAGAGTTTAATCCCTCATTATCAAGAATAAATATTCTTGATAGGGTTATCAAGAATAAATATATTTTATTTTTATACGTTATAGGTTATTAAGTATAACATATAAAATAACGAGGGTATTTAAACTTGCTCAATTTAATGTATTGAAAAATTGATAACAGAGTTGCATCTATAGAAGTATAGAAGAAGTTTTTTATTTAATAATTATTACAACTATTTACGATTAAAGCTATATAGCTCTTCTAATGTCTTTGTTTATATTTATAAGTTTTACTTTGCAAAAAAGAAAAGTTAAGAAAAATATTATTTTATAATAGTAACTATTATCAGCTTTATATAATTAACAGATTCTGCTATATCAAAAAAATGAAAACAGAAACTGCCTTTTAAATTAAAAAAGTCATTTGAATTCCTTGTGAACGTGTTATAACATTGCACCAAAAACATTTATAAAGTGTACATTTAATTTTTTTTTCCTAAAGTTAAATCACAATGCTATATATATACTTTAATGTATTAAGCTGCTTTTATTTAAACAAGACCTGCTTCTGTACTTATGGTTACAGACCAATAAGCAAACCTAAACAGGTACTTGAGAAAAGTATTTAACATTTTTTACCTATATTAACACTATTAGGAAAGTTATATCCTGGGCATAAAAAATGGATCATTTTGATATACTCTGGTCAACCAATCTTAATGGTAAGTTGGTAGCATAAATTATTCTTGCTCATCAGTTGCTTCTTTTTCAGATTTTTTAAAGCGACAAAATTTGGTATGAATCCAATTTAGTTGTGAAAAAAGAATGATATGAATCCAATTTAGTTGTTAATTTAAAAACACATTAATTGAAATTACACCATCTTGCCACTGCTTATTTTGAACCCAAAAATTTGTTTTCTCTTTTAAACTAGATTCAGTTTTCTTTACAGAAAATTGACTAGTTTGTACTTTCTCGTTGTCTAGTTGATATTATCTACAGTATTTTGACAAAAATTAATGTTCTCATCATATTGAACAACTTTACCATTGATGAGATCATATTGAACATCTTTTTTATAGTTTCTAACACATTTGCGTTTTTCATTTGAGCTACCAAATCTTGCATTTGAACCCCACACGTTTTGCATTTATCTTTTTAAATTGCATCTTCAAATCAAGCTACAAATCTCTTTTTTGACCAGCATTAGGTATTATTTTTATTTCTAGCTATATTGTATTTATTTTTAACTAAAAAGTAACTAGTAATTAATAATAATTAGTGTGTGTGTGTGTGTATGTGTGTGTGTGTGTGTGTGTGTGTGTGTGTGTGTGTGTATTTGTGTGTATGTATGTATGTATGTATGTATGTATGTGTGTGTGTGTGTGTGTATGTGTGTGTGTGTGTGTGTGTGGTGTGTGTGTGTGTGTGTGTGTGTGTGGTGTGTGTGTGTGTGTGTGTGTGTGTGTGTGTGTGTGTGTGTATGTGTGTGTGTGTGTGTGTGTGTGTGTGTGTGTGTCTATATTTCATTTTTTTATAATACACAAAATATTTCTAAACAATAAAAAAAAATCAATTATTTGTAAACAATAAATATTTCTAAACATTAAATAAATAAAAAGCAAAAAAACAAAAAAAAATTAAACAATTATTGATAAAATACTTACAAATGATAAAATTGCCTTTTTAGATACATGAAGTCTTTTGTTACGCAAAACTTTAAAAAAATTGTGTCTTTCTTGAATTTTATATTTATTTTCATCATTATCAGCAGCTAAAACTAAATCAATTCGATTTTTATCTTTTTTTTGATACTTTTTATTCTTATTTTGCAATGTTTGGTCAATGTCATCATATTGTGGACATTCATCTTCTTCTGAAACATTATTTTTAGTAAGACAAATAGCTTCTGGAATTTTCAAAGAATTTTTAAACATTTCATAGTAATTGTAAACACTGAAATAAAAAAAATATCATTAACAGAAAAACATTAGGTTTGCGTTGATAATTTAACTAAATAATTACATATTATTCAAATTTAAAAAATATAATTTTTATAATAGTATAAATTTAAAATAGTTATTTAATAACTATAAAATGTTGATGTTGTTGTTGATGTTGTTTGACAACAACAGCAACAACATTAATGTTGTTGCTGTTAATGTTTTTTGACAACAACAACAACAATAACATTAATCATTAATGTTGTTGTTGTTGTTGTTATTAATGTTGTTGTTAATGTTGTTGCTTTTGTTGTTGTTATTGTTGTTATCGTTGTTGCTGTTGTTGTTGTTGTTGTTGTTGTTGTCGTCGTCGTTGTTGTTGTTGTTGTTGTTGTAGTTCTTTTTGTTTTTGCTGTTGTTCAACAACTTGTTGTTGTTTTTGTTGTTGTTGTTGTTGTTGTTGTTGTTGTTGTTGTTGTTGTTGTTGTTGTTGTTGTTGTTGTTGTTGTTGTTTATAGAGTTTCATTATTATTACTTATTGATCACCGTAATACCATACAGGTAAAAGAAAAAAGTGTATTAAAAAATACTGTATATCTGGTCTACAATTATTTGCGTGATATCTAATTTAATTTCTTTTTAGAACAACTTTCCTTCATCAAATTTTTTTATAACTTTTTTTTTTTTTTTTAATTTCGAACAATAGCTTTAAAATTGCCGTTCCAATCTTCAACGTCGTCTCGAAATTCTCGACGCGTCGAAATATCGAGAAGTCCTAAATTAATTTTTTCCCCTCTATAGGCTGCAATAAAAAGTTTAGGGTAAAAGAACAGAGAGGCAATAAGATCAGTTTTAGAATAGTTTAAAAAAATTAACTTACGCAGTTATATAAAAACTAACTAATTTTTGCATGATAGAGGTTTAATTAAAAGAGGTAAAATCAGAGAGTTAATCTAAGTTTAGTAAATACATTTTAAAGTTACACATTCTCTTTACGTAATGATTAGGCAAGGAAAGACAATTTTAGATATTTTAGAAAAATAACATCTATTTTTTTTTTCAAGTTGTAATTATGGCAAGAAACTGTTCAAACTTTAAACATAAAAGTATTAAAAATAGTTTGTATTTTGATTATTTAAAGTTTTACTTTGTTTATTGGTTGTTTTTGTTTCTTAAAAAATAAATTAAATATTTCGGATATTTTTCTCAAAGAAATTAGTCGGAATATTTTGTACACTGCCTCAGCCAGAGCCGTGTAAAGATTTTTGAGGCCGCTAGCATCATTCAATATGGGGGCCCAGTAACCCTCCTCCCCACCTCTCTCTAAAAAAAAAAATTTTTGATTATATTTCTCATATTTAATTGCAATTAAGTTATCCATCTTTTGTTTCTTCCAATATCTTTTTTGTCTTTTGTTTTGTAAACTCTTCAATTAGATCATGAAAATCAAGATTTTGTGCAAATAGACACTAAATATTATAATAGCAAAAATACGAAGTGCAATCGCTGAATTTCTAAAGAGTTCCCCTCATTTCTGAAATAATGTTTAACAAGTTGAATGGAGAATGCGATTTTTCTCCAAAGTTTGCAGAATGATATTGGTTTATGTGAAAGAATTTTTCTGTCACTTCATAGCAGTCACGTCACATGAATATAATGGCAAAAAATGGTTGCAGGCACTTTTTATCATAGCTTTATACATTATTTGATATATTTACAAAAAAGATACAGTAAAGATTTCTTGAATAGATGTGAAACAAATAGTGAGTCTACCAATCACAAGAATGTAATAAAAAAACGTTTAAGAATGTAATAAAAAAGCGTTCCGAAATGTTGCTTACCCTCCTGATTCTGTTTCGGTTGATTCTGTGATATGTTAATCACCTTCAATTTACTCCCAAGAAAAGCCTTCGCGCTTCACTTTTTGGTGAATGGGAAATTTAAAACTGATTTCTGCAGCATTTGCAGCTAATATAGCTTTTTTCAAAACAGTTGGCCATTCCTCCAAAACAGATAGGAGACTAATCAATGTTTTAAAATATTTTATTTTTAGGATTGTTGAAACTAATTTTAAACATCAATGTTGTAAAATTAGTTTCAGCAATCCTAAGAAATTTTCATTTGAGAATCTTCAATTAGGTTTGATTTTTCACAAAAAGCCAATACACGCTCACCAAGGAACAGAATCACATCAAAGACTTGTTCGATAGTTTTTCTCCAGGTAGCTGCTTCATTGAAGATTTGGTGGTTCACAAAATGTGGAAATGTGAAACTTGATTCCCAGGTGAAAATAATTGAATTAGAAAACAAAATATTGCTGTCTTTGCTGGGCTAAGTACAAACCAATATAAAGAAAAAGATTCTTCATTTGGCATTTTGATTTTTAAAAAAGACGTTATGATTTTTAAAACACATATTAAATTTATGATTTCTAGTGTCTTTTAGCATATACAGTGAAAAGGGAACATAACCAGCCCTGACATATTCAGCTAAGTAAAAAAAAAATGAAAAATGGATAAACTTTATTTTTAAGTCACCAATGTTAAATGGCTGCACCAAAGCTGGTCCAACAGTACTTGTGCAGAAGATTAGATGCTTACATCATATTCTGCTGCGTTAAGCTAGTAAAAAAAGCATTTGATGTCTTTTGAGTAGCTGTAGTTCCAACATCAAGTAATGTTTGTCTCTTGTGTAAAGTTGCTTCTTTTGAATTGCTGGTTTTTTTCCTGATGAACACTTGCGTTTCAAATTTGTTATTTCCAGGTACTTTAGTCAAATATATTTGTATATATATGTATATATATATATATATATATATATATATATATATATATATATATATATATATATATATATATATATATATATATATATATATATATATATATATATATATATATATATATATTATATATATATATATATATATATATATATATATATAGTTATGTTCTATTGCTATAGCATAACATACTTTATTGTATACAATTTTTCGCATACACACAACTTTGAATAACGTTCAAAGTAACTCCACTACATAAATAGTCAGAAACATGAAACATCTTAAAATTTCCTTTGTATATATGTATGTATGTATGTATGTATGTATGTATGTATGTATGTATGTATGTATGTATGTATGTATGTATGTATGTATGTATGTATGTATGTATGTATGTATGTATGTATGTATGTGTGTATGTATGTATGTATGTATTTATGTATGTATATATGTTTGTATGTATGTATGTATATGTGTGTATAAACTTTTTTGAAAAACACTAATAAATTTTAAATCTTGTATAAAATGTGTTATATAATGTCATACAATATGTTAGAGTACATTCAATATTGTCTTGAGTTAGATTTGTTGAAAATACTTTTATTCATCTTTAAATTTGTTTTTGTTTCGAATTTCATAGCATTACTATCCCAGGTTTTTACGGAAAAAATTGATACAAGGCAGTATATAAATTATACTGAGTGCCCGTTTTCAAATTTTATGCTAACAATAAAGATTATTAGTTAAAAAAATTAATAGATGTTCATTAGGTGAAAGTTGCCAGTTTGTATAATAAAGTTTAAAAACTTAATCCAAAAACACATGGAAAATCCATAGTTGTTACAAATATGCAAAAATAAGCAATTGTACAAGATGTTATGTTACTTTAATCATGTTTAGTGCCGCTGGTCAAATTGTCTCTGTATGTTTATAAAACTCACAATTTATGGACAATAAGAACCAAAAGTGGATAGACAAAAAGATGGACAACAAGAACCTAAAATGGACTACCAAATGTACCATAGAATCACAGTACAATACAATCAAAAGACGGTTTGATTTTATTCACTTTTTTAACTAGTTTGTTATTATTTTTTGTCAAATTCTAGAAACATTTCTATTAGTTATAACCTAAGCAATCTATACAGTTAAAAGATACTTGAATCTACTAAAGAAAACAGTACATTGTTGTGAAGAAAACATCATTTTATTTTATAATTGGTAACTCTACTCATTTATTGCAATCTCTTGATGTTACCTTTTAAATTAATTACTTAAAAACATTATATTTGTCAGATCAAAAAGTAATCAGTAACTTAGTAGCTCAGTTGTTTTAAAAGAAGTATGGGATTTACCCATTACATATAAGTATCATCTTCAATTATTTGCCAGATTGAAGTTGTAATTTTAGTACACCAAGCAGTAAATAATTTACTTTGACAATTTTCATGTTGATGTCAAGAAAAAAGCAGACTTAAAGGGTAAAGAAATTACTTTTGACCTTGTTAAAAGTATTTCTTTTGAGGACTTTTAGGCAAAATGTAAAGATATTCCGCTTGCAAAGTCTGATGCAAATGAGACTTTTTTTTAAAGTGAAACTGATGTAAATGAGACTTTATTTTACGCTAGTCCATTTAAAACATTAAAACAAAATAAAATACTAAACGGGTGTTTGTTATAAAATATTATTATATTATTTTAGCAATAATAAATTCCTGTGAAACAAGGCTGTTGTTTTTATTAAATTTTAAAACAAAACAAGACTTTTTTGAATAGGTTTTGATTTTACAAAAAACGCATTCAAAGTTACCCCGTTTGAGGGGTAACTTTGAATGTTAACCTTAATTTAACCCCGGTTTACGGTATCCTTCTGTAGTTTGATTTCAAAATTTGTATTTTTATGGTTTAAAAGCTCGAGTTGATAAAATTAAAAAAATAACGATATTTTGATATTTTAATGATAAGTTTCGTTAATAATGAATCATTATATTCTTCAAATTAGTTCTAATGCCAGGTTGATATTTTTTTACTTAATTAATGTTATACTTTTGAGCTATATAAATAACAAAGTGGATCATGAGTAGTGATTTCTTAAAATTTGCAACAACTTTGAATCCAGCTTAACTTTTTTTGAAAATGTTCCAATTTAAGTTAAGGTGCTCATTATACGCTAATCTTGCAAATTTTGCTTTCTTGGTTTTTAGGCATCAACTCTGTTTCTTTCTTGCATACTAAAAACAT